AAAAAAAAAAAAAGACTACACAGCAGGAAGTACTAATAGAAGGGATTCCTGGACAAAGGAGAGCTCCTTATATGCTAATACTTTTGTGAAAGACCCCAATTTTCTGCAACCAGACTAAAAAGTCTGAAACAACTCTAAAGCAGAATTCTCTATACTTACAATGCTAAAAGGCCTTCTGACTCCTTTGATAATTATATTGAAATTTAAATTCTGTCAAAACAATATCTTATTGTAAAGTGACCTGTTTGTTATATTTCAAGATGATATATGGTGGGGAGGAAACTGTACCTGTATATTCACTTGATAATCAGTAGGGCCATGAATAGATCCATATAAGCCAAATCCAACTATAGAAATCCTTCTATTAACTGTGAACCTGAGAGAAAGAAGCCAAAAATAAAATAACATAATTAATCCCATGTGTTCATATTCTGAAGGTTTATAATTTTTTTTAAGTGTTACCTGGAACATCCAGTTTTGCTTATAAAAAGAAAAACAAATTAGATATCCTCGGAAATGTCATCTGTTTGCTTACCAAAAAACTTACTTTTTAGAGTAAATTTGAACAGGAACCTGAGAAGAACTGGTTTTGTAAAAGCATTTAACCTCAATACCCATTTTTGTTGTAATAATTTTAGTGTTATGAGTCCAAATATTTGTACATCTTTTTCATGAATGCAGACATGTCAGCCATTAGGACTGAAGCTCAGCATCTCAAACTGACAATTATCAATTCAAAAAACACTTACTAAGGGCCTATCATATTTAGGTACTAGGCTCGGCACTGTGGAAATAATCAAGTGATTCTCCTGCCTCAACCTCCTGAGTAGCTGGGACTACAGGCATGTGCCATTATGCCTGGCTAATTTTTTGTATTTTTAGTAAAGACAGGGTTTCACCATGTTAGCCAAGATGGTCTCAATCTCCTGACCCATGTGATCTGCCCACCTCAGCCTCCCAAAGTGCTGGGATTACAGGCATGAGCCACCATGCTCAGCCCCCAATTCACTATATTTAACTAATCCCTTGTTGGATAATCTAGGTTATTTGCAGTTTTTATTATTAAATAATAATGGCATAATGAACAATTTTATAGTTAAACCATATTATGAAGCCTTGTTTTCTTTGGAATAGATTCCTAGAAGTAGAATGGCTGATGAAAATAAAAGGCACATTCTTTAAAAAAAATTTATTTTTATTTTTTTATTTACACAAGGTCTTGCTCTGTCACCCAAACTGGAGAGCAGTGCTGCGATCATGCAGCCTCAATCTTCTGGGCTCAGGTGATCCTCCTGCCTCAGCCTCCTGAGTATCTGGGACCACAGGTACATGCCACTACATGCAGCTAATTTTTAAAAAAGTATTATTTGTAGAGACGGGTTCTCACTACCTTGCCAATGCTGATCTTCAACTCCTGGGTTTAAGCGATCCTCCTACCTTGGCCTTCCAAGGTGTTTTGATTACAGGCATGAGCCACTATACCCATCCAAAAGGCACAGTCTTAATGCTTTAGGTAAACATTGTCAAGTTGCTTTCCGGAAAGATAACATTTTATAACCTATAAGGTATAAGGATCGTTTTTCTCTCTTATCAACCATGAGTATTTTTCATTTCCTTTTGCCTTGGAGAAACTGATATTGACAAATTACATTTATACTTTATTATTATTTGACACAGGATTTCACTTTGTCACCCAGTCTGGAGTGCAATGGCACGATCTCCGCTTATTGCAGCCTGAGCCTCCCAGGTTCAGGCAATCCTCCCACCTCAGTCCCCTCAAGTAGCTGGGACTAGAGGCACACAGTACCATGCTGAGCTAATTTTTGTACTTTTTGTAGAGACGGGGTTTTGCCATGTTGCCCAGGCTGGTCTTGAACTCCTGAGCTCAACAGATCCACCCACCTCAGACTCCCAAGGTGCCTGGATTACAGGCATGAGCCACTGTGCCCAGCCTATTTATTTGATTATTAATGAGGTAAAACATTTGCTCATATGCTTACTGCCCACTGGATTTTCTCTCTAATGAAATACCCAATTCATGTTCTTTTCTCATTTTTCTTTACAGATCAGTTTGTCTTTTTAATGTAGATTTGAAAGATCACATTATATATAGATGATAGTTACTTATGTTTTGTTGGCAATATCCTTTATAATAAGTTTCCCATTTGTCATTAACCATAAAGTTAAACTTTATGGTGATTTTGTACTTAAAAGTTTTGAATTATCTGTTTTCAAAATTATGATGTACGCCAAGTTTAGAGAGGTCTACCTCATCCTCACAGTACATAAACATTCACCTGTTCCAGCACTTTCATGGCTTCTGTTTTGTTTAATGTTAAAATTTTTATCTACATGAATACTGGCACATCGGATCAGTAAGGATCTAACTTAATTTTCCCAGTGGTTAATCCTTCCCTAGCCTTTATCTTATTATTTTTTGAGACAGGGTCTTGCTCTGTTGCCCAGGCTGGAGTGCAGTGGTGAGATCACAGCTCACTGCAGCCTCAACCTCCCAAGTTTAAGCGATCCTCCTTCCTTGGCATCTTGAGTAGCTGGAATTACGGCTGAATGCCGCCACACCTGACTAGTTTTTGTATTTTTTGTAGGGATGGAGTTTCACCATGCTGCCCAGGCTGTTCTCAAACTCCTGGGCTCAAGTGAGCCACCCACTTCAGCCTCCCAAAGTGCTGGGATTACAGTACACCCGGCCATATCATTTTCTAAATGTTCATTTATATTAGGTTAGTTTCTGACATCTGTAGTCTGTTCCATACAGCACTAACTTCCTATAGCTTTACAATACTTTGTCATGTAATCTGTATTACTATTATTATTATTTTTTATTTTTTGAGACAGAGTTTCGCTCTTGTTACCCAGGCTGGAGTGCAATGGCGCGATCTCGGCTCAACGCAACCTCCGCCTCCTGGGTTCAGGCAATTCTCCTGCCTCAGCCTCCTGAGTAGCTGGGATTACAGGCACGCACCACCATGCCCAGCTAATTTTTTGTATTTTTAGTAGAGACG